AAAAAAAAAAGGGTTATTTCCATAGAAGTGCATCTTCCTAGGAGCCAATTGCACATTAACAGTTTCAAAATGCTGATTCCCCCTAATTAAATGATATCTACTTTAATACGAATTAGAGCTACAGAAATAAAATGAATATGCTATTCCATAAGCGTTGCTGCTGAACTTCCTTTGAACATTTGAAGAAAAAAGGGCAAAAGGAAAATGCAGAGAAACAACATGTGTAAAGCCCAGAGGAAGGAAAAGCACAAAGTATAACTTGTTTGTTACTGCATGCACTCTCAGTGGAGGACATGTGGCACTGGCTAAAGACAGTGAGGGAAAATCTTTTTGGCAGGTATGCCACAAAATAGCCCTATATCCTCCAAGTGCTATTCCAGTTCCTTTCCCATCTCATTTGCTGCTCTGCTTTCTGCTGCCTGCCCACTCAACTGTTGTGCTGGTTGTTCCCTGATCTGCTGCATAAAGACAGAAACTGCCTGTGCCACAGGTTGGCCTCATCTGAGCTTAAAGATGCTTAGTATCTCATAGGGAGCAGTTCCATAGGAGATGAGAGAAAAGGTAGTCATACTCTCTGCCTCTACAGAATACTCTTCCTCCATTCAAAGTCTTTCTAATACAGTACAGTAGACTACCTACCTACCTACCTCTCTAAGGTCTCTCTAAACTCCAGAGAATTCATAGGAACACATTATTGAAACCCTCCCATGTTTAAGGTTTTGTTTAGTATCTTGCAACTGTCGGTTTCCTGCAGAATAAGAACTGTGATCCAAGTTGGTTACTACCACTTGTGTAGCATCATGTTGTGAGCTCTTTCCTTAACACCTGCGTGGTCTACCCAGTAACTGTCCAGAAAAGGTCTCTCTCACTCCATACACAAGCAAGATTGAGAGAAATTATCAAGAAGTTCAGGAGCTTCAGTAACTTGCCCGCTCAAGGACTCTGGAAACCATTTCCTGCTTATGCATCGATCAGTTCTAGCTCAGCTTTTCCTTCAGACTGACTGATAAATAAGCACTATGCTCTGCTCCTTTTGTCACTGTAGGAAAACAAACTGCAACAAGCTAGTCTTAGTTGCAGGACCTATAGTCACACAAATTTCACAGGACAGCGGTGGCATCAGAACCTTACACTAGGTTACCAGCTTGTCAACTTAATGGTAAGTTCAAGTACAGGGATTGAAACAGAAACGCAGGAAATTTAAATGGAGCAAAGGAAATGCTTTTTTTTTTTTTTTTTTTTAAAGAGTGCATATCAAACCTGTGGAACGTCTTGCTTTATGAGAGCAGTTGAAGACATGAGTTCAACACTATTTGAGAGATGATTTGCTACTTAAGAATGAAAACATCCATAGTTATATCGAACAGAATCAGATAAGAAAATGTTTTTGAAGAGAGGTCTCCGTGCTTCAAGGTGTAAGTCAGCCTCAAAGAATCTGCATCCAGGGACATATTAGACTTTAAGTAGCCACTGTACAATTTTTTTGCACTAACTGTGCAGCAACTATTTTTGGTCACTGATAGGATACTGAATATAACTCTCCACTCTTCTGATGTGAGGAGGCAATTCATACTACATTATCCTTTCTTGTGTCATTAAGATGTCAGGCTGTAGAGTGATTAGGTGAAGGAAGTCCTCTATTCCCAAGAGGCTTGTTTAGCATTAGTTACAGTTGATACTGTACATAGTCAGCATACATTTATCAAGTTCTACAGGACCGTGACTCTAAACTCTATGGTAGTGTTACCAGCAGTCTGTGGTACACCATTAAGTTCAATGATAGATTGTCATTTCTACAATAATACAAAATAACCTGTAAAACCAATATGTAACACCGTATATGCATGAATATAAAAATAAAACCACACCATCAATATGCGACTTTAATAATCCACATCCACAGTAGCAAAGGTAGACGACTTCAACGATCTTCAGTATTGAGTAGCTGGTTCTCATTTTCATACCCATCGGGCAGGTATGCTTTCCTTAGCTGGTCTGATTTAGGTATGGAACTACCATTCTTTACATGACGAGACAGGAAGGCTCGCACTGAAGGATGATCAGCTTTTTCGAGTGGGATGTTGGCTTCCAGGCACATTTTCACAAAGTCCTGGATGACGCTGGTTTTCTCTGTCTGAGAAGTACTGTTGCACTGGAGAGAAGCAGTCAGAGTCCTCTGTTTCTTCCTTGTATTCTGCTCTTCAAACTCTGCCTTTCGCTTTGTATGCGTTTTGGACTTGAGGTGGTCGTTGATAGCTGACTTGCGTACATGATTCAAAACCACATTGCAGGAAGTGCAGAACAGTTTCCCTCCCTCTTCATGCAAGTCACTGCCAAATTCTGTTACACGATCCTGAGGAGTCACGTATAAAGCAGTCTTAGATCGGTTACGGGAAGGAGTAGTTTTCACTCCAAATCGCTCCATTGTTGTCTTTGATACACTTCTTTGAAAACAAAAGAAACAGATGATACATCACATTTATGTAGGTCAATTTTGTACCCTATACTCCACACGCTTACATATCAAATATATATTTGATTTTTTTTTTTTTTTGCAAAATACTGGGCATGTTTCATAAGTAAACATACAGAAAATGATTAATTGAAGAGGTTCAAACAGACTCAACTGACTTTGGACCTCTTATTAATGGCTGCAACTTATTCCTAACTCTGATGCTTCGCATCTTGAAGTAATCTGGGAAAGCCCATGTTTACTCCTTTTTTCAGACTGCTAATAACCTTGACCAAATTATGATAGAGGCAGAAACACAAACAGGCTTCAATTTTCAGTGTTTACATAACTCTCTGATTTTTTAAAATGCAGATCACCTTTTAAATATAGACCAATCTCCAGGAAATGAGAAAAAAAAATGGAAGACTTACAGTCTGTGCTCAAAGTGAAAGCATTTCTGTGGAGGCAGAAATTACTCCAGAAGTTGGGTAAAACGTTAAAAAATGTCTACAGCTGCAAAACTGCAGAGAATACAAGGCTCAAAGTTAACTGCTGATCAGTGGAAATTAGATAAAATGAAAACTCCTTTTAAGAAAGTTTTTAAAGTTTTACTCTATCTGCAAAAGTTTTTAGTAGAGGAAAAACTAGTTTGCAATTTGCTGTGGCTTTCTGTTTATCTCCTGAGACTCGGTAACCCTTATGCCACATAAACTATACTTGTGTAAAAGCCACTGAGAAACACTGCTAATGAGATGGCTTGAATCTTTTCAGATTTGATTTGGAACCATCCCTCCATCTTGTCTGCTCAGGCCTGAAAATAACAGTTTAAGTCCTAGTTGAATCATAAGCAAGTACTAGCATAAAAGCCACCTGATCTTCCAGTTAGGCAGGGGTACAGTTTTGGTCAACAGACAACCTGCAAACATCTCATTTAAAAAAAAAAAAAGCAACCCCCCACCATTTTTATAATATAGATGTTGACAATCTTTTACAACTTTTCAAAGCAAACTAGATTACAGAAGTGGGCAACAAGCCAAACAACTGTACTATAATTAAACTTGAATTGACATTTTTGTGAGAGACTAACAGGCCTGAGTAAGTTGAGCTTTGGTTCAATTTAATTGTTCATTATCTTATGCAGGTCTCTCTTACGTCTTGATATAAATCCTGCCTCTAAGGTCATGTTGATGAAAGGAAAACAATTCTTCACTAGTTAAACCAATGAGCAGGTAGGGCCCTAATTCTGTTAGTAAAGGGGCAATGGATGATTCAAAGGCTTGCCAAGACTTACTTTGAAAAAAAGTTCAGATGACATGAGAGATCGTGGGGGTAAAGAATGGTTGTTTAATTGTAGCTATGAATATGTCAGGGCCTTAAGAATTTCGTATCACCAGCATCTTCAAACAGCTACCCTGGAGGAGATGCCTGTTCTACATATCCAGTTTTTGTTGTTGTTTTTTTTTTTAAGCACACAAAGCCTGCAGTTGCAACAGATGTTGTAAGAGAGTGTTCTGGAAATCTTAATTGGGAGCAAAGCTTGCTGAACCACATTATTGCCTCTGAATACTTCAGGGAAGAGCCACAGGGCAGAACAAGCTGCAATTCCAACTTCAGAGGCTAAGGAAAATGCAGAAGACCACATGCTCAGGAATTACTCAAAGGAGACAAAGACCACTACAGCCTATGCCAGCTGAAGTGCTCAGATGACCCTGAGCATCAGTTGGAGACTATATCCCCAGATGTTTTGTACCATAATCTGAACTTTAAAGATAAGGCAAGCTGAAGACTTTCTTTTGCTTTCAGTTTTATTTTTCTCTCTTTTTTTTATTTTGCCATCAGGTACAAATATCCTCTTACCACTATATTTCTCCACTGCTTCTTTTTGAAGGAAGTGTGTGCACGTTCATACCTTTAAGCACACGTGTCACCAGAATGAAAGTACTGGTACTTATTCTTGAACTCAAATTCTGAATGAATCCTTTTTAAACCAATTTTTGAGAGCTGCGTAGCTTGTCAGTTGGATGACTCAAAGGGGAAGCAAGAGTTGTTGAGCGCTACTGTGACAAAAGCAGAAAGATCAGAGAGAGGAAGGAGGGAAGGCTAGCTTCTAAACAAAAGCATTCACCTGTTTAGTGGATTACCTTGCCATGAGCAGTATCCTGGAACTAGGACTCAGGGTGAAACAGATGGATACCTCCTTATGGCTGCAAGCTTCGGATTTGACTTGACCATTTTCTGTATTCATTTCATAATGCGATCGCAAGCCAAATCGATCTGACGACTTGCTCAGTGCCTCTATTCAAAAATCCTACGAAGTCTCGGCTTGTTTCAGTTGGGCCGAGATTTTTCACAAGATGGGTGGAAATGGAACAAGTCGACCTCAGCCAAAAGGTTGGCTAGGTCCAAGCTTGCTGGTTCACAATTTTTTTGTTTTGTTTTGGTTTTTTTTAATGCACCGACTTGCGCGTACGGAGCAGCCTTTCCGCTTGGGCTCAGAACTTGCAAAGGTAAGGTGTTGGAGGTGTTTCAAAGCCACCTCGCCCTCTGCAGGAATGGCCACCTCTGGTCTTCGCCTCGGCCGCTTTGTCTCTCTGGAAGTTATGCACACAGACAAGAAACCAGATTTTATTTAGGCGCCGCTGCCACGTCAGGCCGGTGTTCAGCCCAGCAGCCACGCCTTAGGCCTTCTTGGGACCCCTTTTGAAGAATAATAAATTTTAAAAACAACATCCCCAACCCTCCCTAAGTCCAACCAGTGGTGGTTTCCCTTCCTGGTGGGAGGGGGAGGAAGGGCCCCTTCCTGTCATGGGTAGACCTGCAGTGCCAGGTCTGCTTTCATGGGGCCTGTTTGCAGGCCC